AATGTAATGAAACAAGTTATATGAATTGTTGAATGTGAAACTGATGATGTGCCCTGTAAACTTTCACTCAATCCACAATAAAAACCTTAAATTAGAAACAACAACAACAACAACAAAAAACAATAACCCGAAACTACTGTCGAGCATAAGAAGCACAGAATTAAACAAATTTTCTTTCAGACTTAAAAAGGAAAGTTTAGATTGTTATATGTAACAACTCCACTGAAAATAAGGAACAATTTTAAAATGACTTTTAATGACGCAATAGTTTTTTTATAAAGTAGAAAAAATAGTTTTATACTATGAGATTAAAGTATCCCTCAAATAGTCATTGTACCTTGACAAGTTACCTTTGGATACACTTTAGATATTTTATTGCACGTAAAACAAAACAAAACAAGAAAAAGCTATATTAAAACCAACCCACCAAATAAAACCTCCTAAACACAAACCTAGCCCTTCACCATTGTCCTCAAAAGGAATGGTATTCTTTTACATGGGTGGTTTTAAGACTCAGGCACCACAGCTCACCTAGCAAGGCTTCGAAGTGGCCGTCGGTGGCTGGTGGAGGGTTTTTCTGGCCTCATAAAACTTTCCCCTCTTTGCAAGGCAGAAGGTCCCAAAGAAAAGATAGGGAGAGTGGAGTATGGCTTGGATGGCAGCCGCATCTATTATCACAAAATACAAGTGAGAATGAACAATACTGTTAAGGATCAGAACTATTAAAATTCATGCACACTGTAATTGAGCCAAGCTTATCATACCTTTTTGCAGCACTGGGAGCACACTGGCCTGCAAACAAAATCACAAGTATTATTCAGCATGATGTCATGATGTGATTGTAGATTTAGAAAAGCCAACACTCACATGTTGTGAATTCCCACACGAAAGGAAACAAGATCTTTCTTCTATAAATGTGACAAATGATACAACTGTGGATTGTCAACAGCACCAGCAATCTGTAAAACTTCACTCTAATGCTGTCTGCTATGGAAAGATCAATTTACAACAGTTTCCAGGGATCACATGACAATTTCATCTATTATTTTTCCCTCCTGTTCAAACATGACATAATTACTATGGCTTATGTAAAAGAAATAACTCAACGAAAAACATTTTCCAGGTTCAATACTGAATAATTATTGGGGAGCCTCAAAGAGGATCCTGGTATGACACTGTAGGATAAGTGGCACTTCAAATCCTCCAGCTACTCAGAAACTATACAGGGTCGCTATGAGTCAGAACAGACTCCACAACACTTGACAAACAACAGCAACCCTCAAAGATGGTACAAGGTAATAGAATGGGTCATTTCTATATTCTATGTAGAAAAATGATGAAAAATTAAGGTAACTGGTATTTCTTTCATGATTGCTAAATCGATATTTTGATCAATTACAAAATACTTTACCTCTTACAGAATTGACAGGTGTAAGACCAGGTGAAGAAGGAAAATCTCCTGGTTCGGCAACAAAAGCAGAGCTGAAAAATAAAAATTTTAAAGTAGGAAAAAATCATCACCACAGGTAAATCTAGCAGACAGAGGAGGAAGAACATTGTTTTTATGTTTAGTTCTGTGATAACTATATTTTAGCTGTGTGTAGTTGTAACTCTATTTTAAAGGGTAGCAGAAGTGGTTAAGCACTCAGCTATCTGAGAGGTTTGCAGTTCAAACCCAGCCAGTGACTCTGTGGGAGAAGAAAGGCCTGGCATTCTGCTTCTGAAAACATGACAGTCTAGAAAACTCTAGGGACATTTCTTTTCTGTCACATGGGGTTGCTATGAGTTGAAATAGCCTTGCTGGCACCTGACAACAGCAATAACAAGTGGTAATGTAGGAAGTGCCCTGTTGCCACCTATCTCCAGCTTTCTGGGGATGTTACTATCAACATCTACTCCCAAAGTAGTAAAAGGCCACAGATCTCAAGTATCTCCCTATGCTGGAAGCAATCTGAAGAAGGTTGTGAACAATTCTGTCTCTGCTTCTCAGGTATTTTCTCTACAAATTCTTCAAAAGAATAATGACTAAATGCAAATATGGCTTTATGAAGGCATAGAATTGTTTATTACAGTTACTTTTAAACTTTCCATGGATTTTTATTTCTAAGGGAGGAACAAATATATTCCTTCTTGTCGGCAAGGAAGAAACAGGGACTGTGTACTTGAGTACAAATGTCTTGCTTCTTAAAAGCCCCTGAAAATCCTGTATGATCTGGCTAACAGGCAACTCTAAGGAGACATGCTTGTGATGCACCACTCTTCTAACTCCCCTGATCAATCTACTTTAAACAGCTCTACCTTCCCCTTTTTCAGGGCTGTATAGACATCCTTGTACTGTTGGTACTTCTCCAGTTCGGCCTTCACCAGGACCTGGCGGATGTGCATCACTTCCTCAACAGTCAGAGCAAGGCACTCCACTGGGTAGCAGAATTCCTCCTGAAAATCAAGATTCCATATGAAAAGGAACCCTCACACACTGTTTTGGCACTAAAACATCTCCCTCTGATCAGATACTTGGTTAGTAGCTTCAGAGAAGAAAAGAGTTTCCCAAATAAAAACTGGATCAGAGCTGGCTCCGTCTGGGGTACCACAGAATTTTTAACTATGTTGAGACAACAAGGAGCTGAAAACTTCTGGCAACCTTGTGACACAATTGTAGCCTCTCAAAATTTCCAAAAAGTTTCCTGCATTTGTTCAGATACTTTACCTCCAATAACTATTTCATTAAGTAGAACTATATATTTATACTGGGCTGCTAACTGCAAGGTCAGCAATTTTAATACACCAGCAATTCCAAGGGAAAAAGATGAGGCTTTCTGCTCCCATTAAGATGTATAGCCTTAGAAACCCTTTACAGGGTCGCTATGAATCAGAACAGCTTCAAAGGCACACAACAACCACTACCATATATTTTACACACTGAAATCATGAGAAAAAACAACAACAAAAAAACCCAAAACTGTTTTGGTTCTAAACCAATTTTATATTAGTTTTATCCTATGATTATGTAAAGGCATTACTTAAGTGTTGTACTGTACATTAGATGCTAATAGATAAAGAGCAGATCTGTAAGGTTGGTACTGTTTTAAAAAATGTTTTGTGGTACCCAGAATAGCCAAAAGAAGGTGGTTAGTAATTTATACTGAGAAGCATTTTTTAGCGGTCAGTTACATCAGCATATCTTGAAAAATGCTAAAGATCTGGGTAGAATTTGAACATTAACATATTATAGTTCACATTCAAAAGGCAAACTATACAGGCTACCTCACAGTTATCCAGATTTTTTGGTATTATTTTTAAATAACTGCTTAGGAAAAATAGAGAAGCTTAGAAGAATTTAATAATAAATATTTATGTTTTATAGGTCTTATGTTTATAGCTTTCCTAAAATCAGGTAAGGAAGATGTTGATGTAACTGATCCCAAAGAGCCTCCTTTCCCAACTGCATCTGATTGGGCAGATCTCAGAGAAAGACAGAACCAGCCTGAGTATTCCTGCTGTGTCTGGCCTCACAGGGCTATTGTGGCGTCAGACATTGAAGCCCAATGTTCTCCGAACAAACACGTAGTAATCTGCGCCCACTCACAGGAGCACTGCTCATGGCTTCTAGAGAGTGATCAAATACGCCAAATGAGAAAGCACAAGACTTTCTTAATGCACTCAGACTCTGGAGTTCAAACATTCAATTCTGTCTTTCAATCAGAGAAAAGTAAAAATATATATGTTGCAAACTGGACAAACAGCATTTACTAACAAAGACAATTTGAAGAATTACAGATTGTTATTAAAATTAATACAAAATTATCTCTGTTAAGTTAACTAAACAAAAATAAAATTTGCTAAAATTTTTTGAAAAAATTTATACAACTGGATTTTTAACCTGGGGAGCTACTATTTGGAGGGTGGTAATGGTGGTTTGTTTAGTAGAAAGACTATATCTTTCTCATTTGCACTGAGAAAGCCAAATACTTAAATAAACAACAAAAACTAACCCCACTCATAACACTATTTTCTTTTTCAATGGGAAAAATCTTCAAAGATAACAAGATTAAATTGTTCAATATCTATTGTGCTTTGTTCCACCCTGAGGAAAGAGAGCAAGCAGTGTTAAGTGGGAAAAGAAAGTACCCTTTTAGGTTATTAAAACTGTGTCCTAAAGAAGAGCTGTGGACCCCTGGTGTGGCGCTGTGGGTTAATGCGCCAGACTGCAAAGCCGTTTGAACTGCAAGGTATGCAGTTCAAGCTCACCAGCTGCTCCTCAGAAACCCTATACTGGGTTGCTATGGGTTGGCATCGACTCAACAGCACTTAACAACAACAAAGAAGAGCTGTAGGCTGAACATAGCCAAATGGTAGCATTTTCAGCTACTCCTGGTGTTGCATGCTAGGATCAGCACTGGACTGCACACCACAAGGTTAGCAACTCAAACGCACGATACAACAACAATATACTTCATTTTCATTACAAGGTGTTTTCCTCCTATCAATTTCATCAGCCATGATGTATATGACTGTGGTATATTTTCTAAAGGCTGAGTATATGACAAAATTGCTGAGTTCCAACACAATAATGCATTAATTTAGCAAATAACTATAATCACTACTTCAGATTTGCTGTGCTTTCTAGGAAAATAGTGAATAGTGCCAACATAATTTATTTTAAAACTGGGATTCTTGAAAACATTTCAAGTAGATTGGTTTTGTTTTGTTTTGTTTTTAATTTGTAAGGATATATTGTGGTGGTAGCATAGTGGTTATGAATCGGGCTGCTAATCTCAAGGTCAGCAGTTTGAAACTACCAGCGGTTGCGTGGGAAAAAGATGAGGCTTTCTGCTCCCGTAAAGATTTACAGCCTCAGAAACCCTATGCGGAGTTGATATGGGTCGGTTCTGACTCATATTGACCCTTACAAGATTTCCAAGGAGTGGCTGGTGAGTTTGAACTGTCAACCTTGAGGCTCAAACAGACCTTGAAGTCCACCAAAGGGCAAGTTCAATATTTTAAAGAATATAATAAATTATTTATTATTTTTCTTGGGTCTTTTCTCTTTTTTTGCCTAACAGACAAATCAGGTCAAATGGTAACATTTTAATCTTGGAACTTTCCCAAGGATAACCAAACTCTAATGCAAAACAAAAGTAAAGGACAAATAGTTTTTACTATTTTTTCAAGTTAACAAAAAATACTAACTCAACATCCCAAAGTAAAATTAAATGTTAACATATCTTGTTGAGATACTAATGCTCCAAAATGCACTGAGCACTTAGGGTTGTAACTGTGCATGGGGATTCCACCACAGTCAGAAAGAATGCAGTTCACTTGCAGGCTAAGCTTGGGCATGTGTACTTAGGACCTTCTCAACCCATTTTTTTTTTCTCTTTGCTTCTCCAAATTTAGGGAAATGCAGCTGAATCTTAAAAAGAAAATACATTACAATTTTCTCTAGGAGTTTATGTGCCTTTAGATCATACTTTTATGTGCAGCACTAAAATTCCTGAGTTTTTATTCAGTTATCTGTTTAGAATTATCCATTCAAAATGGTTAAGCAGCATACAAGACTCAAGAGTGTAACATGTAAGTTAATCATTGAGTCACAGAGATAATGGGATAGTCATGTTTATATAGTGCTCTTGATTAGCAATCCCTTCATAAATAAATAGCAGATATTTGAAAATTATTTAAATAAAAATAGCTATTATTAAGTTTAATTGCTCTTCTCTTTCTTCAAGTTCAACCTTAAAAATCAAAGCAAACCATTTGTTTGCTTAAAGCAATATGCAGACTTGGTATGCAAATGTCTGTTTTAGGAGTCATGATTCAAGTTAAAAGTTAACCCTGCAACTGGGTAGTGATGCCCAAATGGTCAGATCTAAAATGGGAAGGAACCCTGTATTTCATAACAAATCAACAGTGAAAAGAACTTGAGAAAGTTTGTGTCTCATTTACATTCTAAGTGGTCCTCCAGGTCACTGTAAACTAAGCTCTTGAAGAACTAGTTTGTGGCTCATTGTCAAGGACACAAGGACCCTGAATGGCCAGGATCCTGTTTTGAATGGGGGAGGGGAGACACTGTTACAAATGCTGGCTTGTCACAGAAGGGTCAAAGGATCTTTAGTGTGGTTCAAGGACTTTTATTATTTCACTGGAGTTTGGAAATGATTACACTTGCTTTAAAAATGTGAAAGCAAAACCAAACAAACCCATTGCCATTGAGTCAATTCTGGCTCAAATAATAGTAACATTATCCTATGTAAAAATCTCAAAAACAACAATTAAATGTAGAATTAGTTAATACATTCTAAATAACCTCATCAATAAAAAGCAAACAGTATTTGTCACTCTAGAGAAAGGGGTTGTCATAAAAAACATACAATACAATGTTATGAAAACTATCCCAACACAGCTTTATGAAAGGTGCTGGGAAGTGAAAATTTTCTCAAACCCAGGGTACATAGTCCCCCGAAGATGGTGTTTTGGGTTGTAGGAAATGAGTAAAAGGCAGCTTGTATCCATCTTAGCTACCTGGCTTGGCCAGAAACTGGCTCTGTCAACTGGGGAGGAAGCAAAATCAATGATGACAATGAGGGAGCATTGGGAAGGAGGCATGAAGCTGGAGGTAGTGGTCCTCCAGGACACAGTACACTAAACTCTTCAAGAAACACAGGACCCTCTTATCTGATGCTGCATTTTGAGTTTATTCTATAAAATTATGTCCTCTCAACTGAGATAATGGTATTATCCATGCATTCTACAAAAGGCTGAAATCGACAATCAGAAGCAAAGTGCCCATCTAAGCTGTTAATTCTTGCAGAGTGCTCTAGTTGAGGTATCATTGTCAAAGAGATAGAGTAAAATAATCCCCAGAACCAGCATAAAGAGGCCAACCTTTGTGGATTTCCACCTGCTGGTAAAAGCTCTCTCACATAGATAATACATAGCCCCTGCTACCCCAAACATGGCTGCTTCAAAAGGATGAGAGCTGAGCAGAGAAGCTGTTTGTATGGTAGAAAAAAGTGGTCGGAAAGGCGTCCTTGGTAATACACTGGTTATCCCAGGAACCTGAACAATAGATAAGGAGAAAAGAAAATGGCAGGGGAAAATGAAAGGAGAAAATAATACTGAGCATGGATGACCTACAAATAGTGATTCTCTGTCATGAAAGAAAAATAATACAGAAGAAAAACACCATAGAGTACATTAATAGAAAATTCCATATGGGTTTCCAGGCCAATGCTTATACCCATATAAAAGTCAGTCATCCAACCAGGAAGTCATTCCTAGAAAGTCACAAAGTTCACACAGCAAAAATTTAAATTCACAAGTGAACATCAGGAGCTGGCTTGTTCCTGCCATGGGGAAGGTGCTTACAGATCAGTTGCCTTTGGATGAGCAACCACCATCAATTATTTGACCAAATGGTGAGAAAAAATATATTTTAAACATCCTTAGGAATGGGAAAGAGAAATAATAAAAGTGAAGATTAATAACAAAAGCATTTTTGCCAATTATCAGTTTGGTGTTTAAATATAAAATGATTTCCCTGTGTTCTTAAATGCAAATAAATTTCTTAATTTTCACACTTTTAAAATAGTACTTAGCAAGTTCAAAGGCACTGTACGGTTTTAGGGATTACCAGAGGCAAGGTACTAGCAAGAAAAGTTACTCCGCCTTTGACCTGAAATTTGGTATGAAGGGAGCCATAGTTTTGTATGGGTGATATGTCTCCACCTCATGACCTAAACATTTTACGGTGTCTCCCAGAGGTGCCCTTTTCACTAGCCACATCTTGGTCAATAGATTTTGTCTGCTCTCCCTTTTACACAGCAAACAACTTTCAGTCTGATCAAGCATACAATGAGAGTTCAGCTTTACCATGGACAGTAGGTGTGGGTTGATGGTGTTTTTGGCGTAACTTCTGACTATAATTAGTTGGAGCTTCCTTTGTAGTTGATAGAGTAATTCCTTTACATTAATATTTTGATTTAATTTAGGTCTAACCTCAATAGTCACAAAGGTTAGTTATATGACTGAATGACAGACTGGCTTCTAGGAAAAGTCTAGTTAAAAGAACATTCTAAAATTGGACTTATAAAAAATTACAAAGGTATTCCCTGCTACATATTTTTAAGTTGTGACAATAACAGCATATTTTGCTAAAACAACAACTTATTAACAAAGGTTTTACATTTTAATTTCACCCTCTTTGGTGACAGGTCTACTTTTCTGTTCCTAAATCATGAACAAAGCTAAATGAGAGAGCTTTAAAAAGACCCTGAAAAAAATGAAATAAAAAATAATGGAATTTTTTACGAACTTTTGGAAGCCACCTCATATTTCATCAAATGGCTGTATTTCAGTAATTATTTAGGACTTAGAGGACACCTAAAAGAATGGGCATAAAATCATAAGTTCTTTCATTGTAGTATTTGGGAAAGGGATGAGTTACCAAACTGCAACATTAAAGGCTTTGTTCAAACTCAGTATCTTCACAATAACCATACTAACTCCCTCTACTTTGTCTTCTTTTTCTCCTAGGGTGAGAGAAGGAAATCCAATGTTGCTTCAGTAAAACCCCTAATAATTCATATAGCCTAAAACAAATATACGAAGCACGTTCCAGTGTTTTCATTCATGAGTATCTGAAATAAAAGCATTAGATATTAGACTGTGATTATATTTATTCATGTAAGCCTTGCATCCCACCTGCAAATATTTCTGAAGTCAAGTGGGATTACCAAAGGATCTTTACAGACCTTTTTTGGCCGGTGAATTTATTGAGTTCTTCCTGAGAAGAGCTTAGTATACTATGTCCCACTGTCCCAAGAAATAAGAGCCACTCCTGGTGTGGCATTGTAGGATAAGGACTGGGCTGCTAACCGCAAGTTTTGAGGTTCAAATCCACCAGCTGCTCCTTGAAAACCCTATACTGGGTCGCTATGAGTCAGAACTGACTCTATGGCACTTAACAACAACAAACAAACCTTGGTAGAGGATCAACCAAAAAGAATGAGATAACAATGAGATAGACTGACACAGTAGCAGCAACAATGGGATCAAACAGTCAAGACTGAGGATGGCACATGACCAGGTAATGGTTTGTTCTGTTATATGTAACAATACCTTAAAAGCATCTAACAACAACAGCAAAACAAACCTAAACATCTCCTGAAAGGCAAAAAGTGTTAACCACATGTCAGTTCTGGCCCCCAATATCAAAAAGCATATGTGAAAACAACGTAACTGATAGATCAAAATTCTCCCTTATCATTCTGCCTTAACATTCTACTGTGGTTAGACCCTACTAAGAGGAGTTTTTAAAATTAAGATTTAATATTCTTTTAGAGGAAGAAAATTCTTGAAAGGAAGAAAGTATTTCTTCAATAACTATTTATACTTTCAATCTGATAAGTCCTCTGAAAGAAAAGAAAAGAAGGTACTCAAAATGAACAAAGGAAGGCCAAGCTTCATTTAGATTACTATTAAGGTTTGCTTTCTTTAGCTTTTAAAAATAAATGAGGTTATTTAAAGTTTATTGTAACCTGTGGAAGTATTTTTCCCATCATCTTCTCAAGAAAGCTAAAGAATCTAGGCTATCCAATAGATACTTAAGATAGTACACTGAGCCTTTGGATGACTTACCAGAGATCTGGAACTGTGCTTGGATGGTGGCAGAAACTGTCTCACATTAGTAGGTGTTTCCTTTTCAATGGAATGGCGCCTTTGAGGTGGCTGCCGTCTCTCAGGCTGGGGTGTTGAAGATATGGGTAAGAACTTTGGAGGCTCTAAAGATTTAACCAAATGAAACAAACTCTCTTACAAAACAAAACTCATAGATTTTGAGTGTAGCAAAAGAAAATTCTTCATTATTTGTGGCAAACACTTCATTAAATATGAAGTGTTTATTTCATTGGAGGTGGTATTCCTTAGGGGGAGACTTGAGGATTGATATAGAAGAATCTGTGCAGATACTATAGAAATAGCAGGAAAAAATGCTCAGTGTTTTTAACATTTATTCAAATTCACACATAAAAACATTAAATAAGTATAGTCTCAGATTTGTACGTGTTACTTTCCATAGAATTTTCCAGTGACATAGTCTCAGGCATTTTAAAAAAACCCACAAACATATATATACTGTGTGGTTAAAAAACTCCAGCCAGTTTTTTGAGAAATTCTAAAATTTCTCAAATGTACCCCTCCCTTTATATTTTTTAAAGATTATTGTTGTTGTTATGTGCCGTGTAGTCAGTTCCGACTCATAGCGACCCTGTACAGGGTTTCCGAGGCTGTAAATCTTTACAGGAGCAGAAAGCCTCATCTTTCTCCCGCAGAACAGCTGGTAGTTTCGAACTGCTGACCTTGAGGTACATAGCCTGATTCGTAACCACTACGCTACAAGATCTCCTTTTTTAAAGATAGAATATTAAAATATCTTCCTTCTAGATATTTATCAAGACTTCTTTGTCCTGAAATTTAAATTGAGCTCTTAAATAATAATAATAATAATAATTCAGCTTTATGTGAATACTATATCATTATTCTCTTCTGTTTACTCTTGCTTTGGGACAGGATTTAAAAGCAGAATGTTCTGTGGTCTTAATGGTTCTGATTTTACATTCTGAAAACATAAGGACAACACTGGAAATAAATTATGCTGCTAGAGTATTTTATTTTATACTTCCTTTACAAGATCTGCAAAGTAAGGCAGCTTGATGTAATGGGTATAGGGAAGTGAAAGTCAACATAAAATGAAATATGATTTGTATTATACACTTATTTGTATTATGCCATCAAGAGGAATCACTAAAGAAAAACAAAGAACATAATTTCCAGTTAAGAAAAGACACTGAAAAAAACAAACAAAAAAAAGACACCAAAATCCACTATTTCACTGGGTCCCTATGATGTAGCATTGTCCAGGTGTAGCGTTGAAGTATAAGGCACTGGACTGCAAGGTTGGTTTGAACTACAAGGTTGGTCCATGGTGGTTCAAGCTCATCAGCTGCTTCTTGGAAACCCTATACAGGGTAGCTATGAGTTGGAACCTACTCATCAGCACTTAACAACTGTGTTTAATGGGCATGGCCAAAGTACAGAAAACAAAGCTCAGCTTCTATTATTTTTTGATATAATCTTCTTAAGTAAATCAGATTATTTAAATAATTTTAACCATTAAAACCTCTGTGTTTATGGAAAATCAATAGGTGTTCTAAGAAAATCTTAATATATAATTTTTGTCTTTTAATAATTATCTTATAAATGAAGATTATTAAAATAATCTAGAAATCATTTAACCTTAGACATCTGAGTTTAGAACATATCTACACATATATGTGAAAGTGTAGGGGTATGTGTGTGTAGGGGGGATGTATGTGTATAGGGAGGGAATGAAAAATGTGATTATTCAGGGATTCGAGATTAAATTCAGACAAGGTGATAATTAATCTAAATGTGTGCTTGCATATAGAAAAGTTATTTATTTCCTACAACTGGAAACTATTATCTGTAAATACAAATCTTATATATGTGCTATAATTTAAAAACATGATACACTCTCAGGAAAATATCAACCTTTCTGCTCCTAACTACTAGTGAAATTCCATGGTTAATTGTTTCTAACCAAAATGACAATAGGGTACTTTGGGATTCCTGCCCTAGATCCAATGCTTTAAGAGTAGTTGTGATGCTGTTTCAATGTACCTCAAATACTTACTCTTCCTTGCTGAAATGGTCTCTAATAAGGGGTCTTCGAGGAAGGACGGGGAAACACTGCTGCTGCTGGTTGATTTGTGCACAGTTTCTTCCTGAGAAAGAGGTGAGCAAAGAAATACAGAGATTTCCTAGACATTAGTGTTCTCATACTAATTAAGAATATTTACATTATTAAATACTTATTTGTACATTATTATATTGAAGGTTTAAAGCAATTAAGAGACAAACTATAAGCAGCCCTCAGCTGAATCCTAACTTTGTTTTTCTTGAGAATAAAGTAATGTTAAGCAAGTTTATCTTTGTTTCTCCTTTTGTAAAAGAGGAGATATAATACTACTTTCCTCAGGGTCACTGGAAGGATTAAATGGGCTAACACATTAAAAATGCTTAATACATTATCTGGCACACAGTAAGAACTCAATAAACGAAGGCTAGGACCCTGGTGTGCTGCTGTAAATAAGCACTAGACTGCAAAGTAAGTTTGAACCTCAAGGTTGGCGGTACAAACTTACAGCCACTGCTCGGACACCCTACATAGAGCTGCTATGAGTAGGAATCGGCTCAACAGTACTTAATAACAATAATAGTATAATTAGAGAATATTTTGCATATTTATAAAAGCTATAAATTGTAAGTCCCATAAGGGCAGATGCTTTTTCTTTCTTGTCTATTGCTGCACACCTAGTACCAAACCCACTACATGGTTTAATAACAGATATTTGTTGAATGAATCCTTGAAAAATAAGCATTTAATGAAATGTCCTATGAATGCAAAATATTTTCATTAGGCCAAATAAAATTTTGACTCTTCTTATTAGCGAGACGAAACCTCTTTAACGTAAGACTATCCCCAAAAGAAGTACGATATTTACTCAAGAAATGTCTACTACTGCTATATGACAGGACATACACATTAAGTAGAAGACAGATAATTTCTACTCTAATAGAGACAGAATAAGGCTAAGTAGTTTTTAAATACAAAAGAAAGAAAATTATGTGAAAATTCTCTTTGACCTACTTAGCTCAGGAGATCTTAAGAATTAGCCTTTCACTGAAGACTGGCCTCACCCAAACCTTGCTGCTGAAATCATTAGCTTCAAGCAGTGATCTACTCAGTTAATAAGAGAAGAAAAAGGTTGTGTAAGTCACACAGTTCATACAAAGGAGGCTTGAACAGGAGCTCTCTCCACCACTTGGGGTTCAACTTGATGAATGAAGAAGCTAACACAACCTTTATCCCAGGCAAAGTGTAGATCACACAAATCTCCAGGAAAAACTGGCAAGCGATTGAAATGACTGTGTTCTTACTATGGAAGGCCACAAGGAAACAAAAGCCAAGAGTATCTTTTAGAAGAAATAAGGAGTACTTCCCAAATAATTATTTGATGAGATAGGTACTTGATGTTGTTACGTGCCATGGAGACGGTTCCGACTCATAGCAACCCTGTACAGGGTTTCCGAGGCTATAAATCTTTATGAGAGCAGAAAGCCTCATCTTTCTCCCGTGGAACAGCGGGTAGTTTCAAACTGCTGACCCTGAGGTTCGCAGCCCGATTCGTAACCGCTACGCTACTGACTTAAAGAGCAAAGCCCATTCTACATACATCTGCCTACCTTCTTTTTACAAGTTTTACTTACATCCCCACATATCTGTCAGTTTGTGGTGACTTGTACATTGCTATGATGGTGGGAGCTATGACACGGTGTTTCAAACATCAGTGGTCACTCACAGTGGACAGGTATCAGCAGAACTTCTAGATAAGGAACAGACTAATATAGGAGATCTGGTAGTGTAGTGGTTACGAATCGGGCTGCGAGCCGCAAGGTCAGCAGTTCGAAACTACCAGCGGTTCCGCGGGAGAAAGATGAGGCAGTCTGCTCCCGTAAAGATTTTCAGCCTTGGAAACCCTGTGTAGGATCGCTATGAGTTGGAACCGACTCCACGGCACATAACAACAACAACAACAAAAAGGAATAGGCTCTCTTCTGATTGATTAACCCCTGAAAATCCTATGAATAGCAGGGAAACACTGTTATAATGTTGGAAGATGAGCTCCTCAGGTTGCATGGCATTCAAAATACGACTGAGGAAAAGCTGCCTCCTCAAAATAGAGTTGGCCTTAATAATGTGTGTGATAATTAAAGTTTCGTGTCAACTTGATTGGGCAGGATTCTCAGTGGTTTAGTATTTAATATGTACGAATCAAATTCATGATGAAATCTGCTACAAGCAGCAAATCATCTGAAAGGAAGTTTCCTTGGGCGTGTGGCCTATTTCCAATATATTGGACATTCTGGAAAAAGCTTGCCCACTTTTTGCTGGGTTTCGATCATGCATCTGGTATGTCATCTGACCTCTGGTTCTTTGGATTTGAACCACTGGACTGCTGTATTGCCTGATAATATTGGAGTCAGAGGCCTGCAGTCTGACCTTATGATCTTGGGCTCATCAGCTCTTGAAGCTAAGTGAATCAGGAGAAGCTTTCAGCCTGACATTTAACCCACAGACTTGGAACTTGCCCACCTCTACAACTGTGTGAGCCATTTCCTGGATATAAACCTTTCTGTATATTTACACATATATATGCTATACTGGTTTTGCCTCTCTAGAGAATCCAGTCTAGATAATGTAGATGGAACAAAGCTTTCAAGACCTTCATCTGCTGATGGGGCACAATTCAAAACGAGGAGAAACAGCTGCAAACATCCATTAATAATCAGAATTTGCAAAAAAAATTAAAAATTATGAATCTAGTAAGATTGGAAGATGTCAAATATGAAATGGAATTCATAAAGGTATTGCTAAGTGCCACTGAGTCAGTTCTGACTCACAGTGAGCCTGGACCACTGACTGACCTTGTAGTCCAGTGCTTATCCTACAGTGCCACATCAGGACTCCTAATCCCAGGCATTAGTAAGCAAAAATAAATAGGTATTGGCCATTTGTAATCACTCATATTGTTTCCTATGCCAGGAATGACAAATTAAAGAGGAATAGAGTTGCATTCATTGCTAGAAAGAACTTTTCAGGATCTACCTTGAAATACAATTCTGCCTATGATAGAATAATATATATATATGTCTACATATGTATATCTGACCTCTGTCCAAAGTATGAGAGATGAAGTTTGGCCATCTTGGCCTCCAGGGAGCACTCTGGCTGCACTTCTTCCAAAATGGATTTATTGGTTCTTTTGACAGCCCATAGCACTTTCAATATTCTCCTCCAACACCGTAAGTCAAAAGTATCAATTCTACATTCTTCTTTATTCACTGTCCAGCTATCATATGCATATGAGGTTACTGAAAATACCATGGCCTGGGTAAGGCGCACCTTAGTCTTCAAGCTGATATCTTTGCTCTTCAACCCTTTAAAAAGGTCTTGTGCAGATTTGCCTAATGTAATATGTTGTTTGATTTCTTTTTTTTTTTTTTTCTTTTTGGCCCATCTAGAGACCTTTATTCAGGGTGAGGAAGATAACCTCTGCCGGAGAGAGAAGGCAGGAGGCGGAAGGGAGGAGAGAAAGAAGGAAGAGAGCGTCAACAGGAAGGGAGGGGATTTATATAGATTCAACAGGAAGGGAGTGGTCATTGCTGGGGTGATTTAGCTCTTGCCTATCAAAAGCCAAGTTGTCCTTTAAACTACGTGCCTTGTAGCTTAGGGCGGGGAAACAGACAAAATGGAGTTGGAGGGAAGGGAGAGGGAAGAACCGGAAGGTATTGTAACATTGTAACATTTCCCCCTCTTTGGTTAAATAAGAAAAATGAATGGCTGTCTCTATGACCCAGGCCAGTGGGAGAAGGGACGAAGGTCATTTTTCTGTAGCTACTTCCTGCTGGCATTGGGGCGACAAGGCTGTCTTTGGTCTTTGGGCTTGGACCACGGTCGGCGATGGCTTTGTCTTTGTTGGCGGTGTTGTCAGTAGCCATTGGGCTCTTCAATGGATACCAAGAAGTGATGGAACCAGGTCAGCAGCTGGACTGGGCTTAGGCCCGCAGTTCTAGGTCTTCAGAACCGAGCCAGAGGGCTGAAGAATTGACTCCTGCCAGTGATGGATGCTGAGAAGGCATCAGGGAAGATGATCGCGGGTGCTGGGAGGGCATGTTGAAATGAGCGGGTTAGGGCACCGGGAGAATTGGGGTCCTGGGCCTTCCGATGTTAAATCAGGGGTCTCAACCATCCCACTTCTGACACCAATGAAAGGGAAAAAACAACCCCAGCACCGCTCATCAACCACACCTCACTTCAAATGGCCCATCTAGAGACCTTTATTCAGGGTGAGGAAGATAACCTCTGCCGGAGAGAGAAGGCAGGAGGCAGAAGGGAGAAGAGAAAGAAGGAAGAGCCGTTTGATTTCTTGATTGCTGCTTCCATGAGTGTTGATCGTTGACCCAAAAAGAATGAAGTCCTTGACAACTTCAATCTTTTCTTCGTTAATAAGAATGTTGTTTATTGGTCCAGTGGAGAGGATTTTTGTTTTCTTTACATTGAGATGCAATCCATAATGAAGGCTGTGCTCTTTGATCTTCATCAGTAAAATGTTTTAAGTTCTCTTCACTTTCAGCAAGCAAGCAAGCAAGCAAGCAAGGTCTGCATATTGCAGGTTGTTAGTGAGTCTTCCTCCAATCCTGATGCCACCTTTTTTTTTCATAGAATCCACCTTCTCGGATTATTTGCTCAGCATACATGTTGAATAAGTATGGTGAAAGAATACAACATTGTCGCACACTTTTCTTGATTTTAAAACATTCAGTGTTTCCATGTTCTGTTTGAACAACTGCCTCTTGGTCCAGGTAGAGATTCCTCATGAGTGTGTTCTGGAATACTCATACTTAGCAATGTTGTCCATAGCTTGTCATTATCCACACAATCGAAAGCCATTGCATAGTCAATAAAGCACAGGTAAACATCTCTCTGATAGTCTCTGCTTTCAGCCAAGATCCACTGGACATCAGCAGTGATATCCCTCATTCCATGGTCTCTTCTAAATCTGGCTTGAACCTCTGGAAGTTCGCTGTCAATGTATACTTGCAGCTGTTTCTGTATTACCTTTAGTAAAATTATACTCGCATGGCATATCAAAGAGATTGA